GAAAATTAAAATATTAAATAATCGGGGCAAAATCGTCTTTATAAAAAAGTTCAAACAAAATCGAACCAAACTCGCAACAAAATGAAAAGTTTTGACCTTTGGTGCTAGTCCAAACTTTTTTGGACCAAAATGACAATTTTCAGTTAACCACATGGATCATTTGTTTAGTTTTGTCTTTTTTTTTTTATTCTTAAATCATGTCTATGGCCCACAGTTGCAATGTGAGGTTTTCATTTTTTTTATTCTTAAATCATGTCTATGGCCCAGAGTTGCAATGTGAGGTTTTCATTTTTTTATTCTTAAATCATGTCTATGGCCAATTGCAATGTGAGGTTTTCACTTTTTTTTCCTTAAATCATAGTTCCGCCCTAGAAATCAGTAGTAAAGTTCTTTATTTTAAACTATATAACGTTGCGAGCCTGGAAAGAATGGATTCCTCACAAGTAACAAATAAAATCCGTGAGTCTTTAGCGTATACCGTTACGTCTTGGGGCTAACTTCAACGTGAAGAAATTATTAAAGGACGACAATTATTTGTTTTGAAGCTTTTAGTTACCTCCTTTTCACATACTACGTATTTTTTTTAGGTTCATGTAGTGGCAGGAATTATTTATAACAGAATTCACATGGCTATGGTACAAAAAGTCCAAAAGACTTTCATGTGACCTTGGGTCCTACTAGCTTGACACTCTTTAAATGCCAAATTATGTTTATTGTATTAAAAGATCTTGATTTTTTTTTATCAATCTTTAACATAAATATTATGTTTTCTCTAACATAAAACAATAATTAAAAATTTTAGTCAATGATGATATATTCATAATGTTATTCGCACTAGATATTTGTTTACCATTAGAACATCAAAAGTCCTAAAATTTCATCACTATTACGTTTTCAATATTAAAAAAATGTTTTCAATAGTTGGTTTTAAGTTCATCCGTAATAAAACTTTCATGTTGTCATGCACATCATGGGCATCACTCATGTTAACATCAATATGCAACTCATGCATACTTGTGAAGAAAAAGAGTTCATCATTATATATAATGGACCACGAAATAAATCGGATTATATGTTGATACATAATTAAATCAAAAACTTTATATAGGTTACCTCATCAAACCGGGTTCTTGTTTTTCAAATACCGAAGCAGTCATTCTACCATCTCTACTCTAACAGACTAAGGGCATAGCCATGTCTGTGTGAACATCCACCTTTTTTTATCCTATTTCAATAGGGTTCGTAGTACCACTAGACCATATTATTGTTATTGTAGCATCTTCAAACATATAATTTCTTTTGTAAATGATGATGTATCACAAGCTTAAAAAAACGAAAAATAGACTCAAACTTATAACAACCTAAAACTAAAATCATAGTATCAGGTAATGGTTAATTAATGCAAGAGCATTACTTGTAAAATGTGCAACATCACTGATCTGGATCCGAACCGAACTTTGGACAGGGCCCCCGATTTCCTGACCCGAAAACCCATCCATACAAGTATTCTCGTCGGTCAGGGCTGAGCTAATCCATGTCTGAACATTGCTCATGTGCAAGAGGAACTCCCGACCTTTGACCCGATCCACGCTATTGAGTTCACGGATCGAATTTCTGACCCGGTCCAAACTGTCATTAACTTCCTCCAAGCAATCTCCCACAGCGGAACGCTCATTCTACCATCTCTACTCTAACAGACTAAGGGCATAGCCATGTCTGTGTGAACATCCACCTTTTTTTATCCTATTTCAATAGGGTTCGTAGTACCACTAGACCATATTATTGTTATTGTAGCATCTTCAAACATATAATTTCTTTTGTAAATGATGATGTATCACAAGCTTAAAAAAACGAAAAATAGACTCAAACTTATAACAACCTAAAACTAAAATCATAGTATCAGGTAATGGTTAATTAATGCAAGAGCATTACTTGTAAAATGTGCAACATCACTGATCTGGATCCGAACCGAACTTTGGACAGGGCCCCCCGATTTCCTGACCCGAAAACCCATCCATACAAGTATTCTCGTCGGTCAGGGCTGAGCTAATCCATGTCTGAACATTGCTCATGTGCAAGAGGAACTCCCGACCTTTGACCCGATCCACGCTATTGAGTTCACGGATCGAATTTCTGACCCGGTCCAAACTGTCATTAACTTCCTCCAAGCAATCTCCCACAGCGGAACGCTCATTCTACCATCTCTACTCTAACAGACTAAGGGCATAGCCATGTCTGTGTGAACATCCACCTTTTTTTATCCTATTTCAATAGGGTTCGTAGTACCACTAGACCATATTATTGTTATTGTAGCATCTTCAAACATATAATTTCTTTTGTAAATGATGATGTATCACAAGCTTAAAAAAACGAAAAATAGACTCAAACTTATAACAACCTAAAACTAAAATCATAGTATCAGGTAATGGTTAATTAATGCAAGAGCATTACTTGTAAAATGTGCAACATCACTGATCTGGATCCGAACCGAACTTTGGACAGGGCCCCCGATTTCCTGACCCGAAAACCCATCCATACAAGTATTCTCGTCGGTCAGGGCTGAGCTAATCCATGTCTGAACATTGCTCATGTGCAAGAGGAACTCCCGACCTTTGATCCGATCCACGCTATTGAGTTCACGGATCGAATTTCTGACCCGGTCCAAACTGTCATTAACTTCCTCCAAGCAATCTCCCACAGCGGAACGCTCATTCTACCATCTCTACTCTAACAGACTAAGGGCATAGCCATGTCTGTGTGAACATCCACCTTTTTTTATCCTATTTCAATAGGGTTCGTAGTACCACTAGACCATATTATTGTTATTGTAGCATCTTCAAACATATAATTTCTTTTGTAAATGATGATGTATCACAAGCTTAAAAAAACGAAAAATAGACTCAAACTTATAACAACCTAAAACTAAAATCATAGTATCAGGTAATGGTTAATTAATGCAAGAGCATTACTTGTAAAATGTGCAACATCACTGATCTGGATCCGAACCGAACTTTGGACAGGGCCCCCGATTTCCTGACCCGAAAACCCATCCATACAAGTATTCTCGTCGGTCAGGGCTGAGCTAATCCATGTCTGAACATTGCTCATGTGCAAGAGGAACTCCCGACCTTTGACCCGATCCACGCTATTGAGTTCACGGATCGAATTTCTGACCCGGTCCAAACTGTCATTAACTTCCTCCAAGCAATCTCCCACAGCGGAACGCTCATTCTACCATCTCTACTCTAACAGACTAAGGGCATAGCCATGTCTGTGTGAACATCCACCTTTTTTTATCCTATTTCAATAGGGTTCGTAGTACCACTAGACCATATTATTGTTATTGTAGCATCTTCAAACATATAATTTCTTTTGTAAATGATGATGTATCACAAGCTTAAAAAAACGAAAAATAGACTCAAACTTATAACAACCTAAAACTAAAATCATAGTATCAGGTAATGGTTAATTAATGCAAGAGCATTACTTGTAAAATGTGCAACATCACTGATCTGGATCCGAACCGAACTTTGGACAGGGCCCCCGATTTCCTGACCCGAAAACCCATCCATACAAGTATTCTCGTCGGTCAGGGCTGAGCTAATCCATGTCTGAACATTGCTCATGTGCAAGAGGAACTCCCGACCTTTGACCCGATCCACGCTATTGAGTTCACGGATCGAATTTCTGACCCGGTCCAAACTGTCATTAACTTCCTCCAAGCAATCTCCCACAGCGGAACGCTCATTCTACCATCTCTACTCTAACAGACTAAGGGCATAGCCATGTCTGTGTGAACATCCACCTTTTTTTATCCTATTTCAATAGGGTTCGTAGTACCACTAGACCATATTATTGTTATTGTAGCATCTTCAAACATATAATTTCTTTTGTAAATGATGATGTATCACAAGCTTAAAAAAACGAAAAATAGACTCAAACTTATAACAACCTAAAACTAAAATCATAGTATCAGGTAATGGTTAATTAATGCAAGAGCATTACTTGTAAAATGTGCAACATCACTGATCTGGATCCGAACCGAACTTTGGACAGGGCCCCCGATTTCCTGACCCGAAAACCCATCCATACAAGTATTCTCGTCGGTCAGGGCTGAGCTAATCCATGTCTGAACATTGCTCATGTGCAAGAGGAACTCCCGACCTTTGACCCGATCCACGCTATTGAGTTCACGGATCGAATTTCTGACCCGGTCCAAACTGTCATTAACTTCCTCCAAGCAATCTCCCACAGCGGAACGCTCATTCTACCATCTCTACTCTAACAGACTAAGGGCATAGCCATGTCTGTGTGAACATCCACCTTTTTTTATCCTATTTCAATAGGGTTCGTAGTACCACTAGACCATATTATTGTTATTGTAGCATCTTCAAACATATAATTTCTTTTGTAAATGATGATGTATCACAAGCTTAAAAAAACGAAAAATAGACTCAAACTTATAACAACCTAAAACTAAAATCATAGTATCAGGTAATGGTTAATTAATGCAAGAGCATTACTTGTAAAATGTGCAACATCACTGATCTGGATCCGAACCGAACTTTGGACAGGGCCCCCGATTTCCTGACCCGAAAACCCATCCATACAAGTATTCTCGTCGGTCAGGGCTGAGCTAATCCATGTCTGAACATTGCTCATGTGCAAGAGGAACTCCCGACCTTTGACCCGATCCACGCTATTGAGTTCACGGATCGAATTTCTGACCCGGTCCAAACTGTCATTAACTTCCTCCAAGCAATCTCCCACAGCGGAACGCTCATTCTACCATCTCTACTCTAACAGACTAAGGGCATAGCCATGTCTGTGTGAACATCCACCTTTTTTTATCCTATTTCAATAGGGTTCGTAGTACCACTAGACCATATTATTGTTATTGTAGCATCTTCAAACATATAATTTCTTTTGTAAATGATGATGTATCACAAGCTTAAAAAAACGAAAAATAGACTCAAACTTATAACAACCTAAAACTAAAATCATAGTATCAGGTAATGGTTAATTAATGCAAGAGCATTACTTGTAAAATGTGCAACATCACTGATCTGGATCCGAACCGAACTTTGGACAGGGCCCCCGATTTCCTGACCCGAAAACCCATCCATACAAGTATTCTCGTCGGTCAGGGCTGAGCTAATCCATGTCTGAACATTGCTCATGTGCAAGAGGAACTCCCGACCTTTGACCCGATCCACGCTATTGAGTTCACGGATCGAATTTCTGACCCGGTCCAAACTGTCATTAACTTCCTCCAAGCAATCTCCCACAGCGGAACGCTCACGGGAGTTCAACCATTTAGATTCCGTCAGCTTCTGGAGGAAAGATTGGGCCGATTCAGACTGGTTTAGGGTTACGTTCAACGCAAACCGAGTCAACTCAGCCGGGTTGTGTTTGATAGTTTCTGCGTAGGGAGAAAGAGACTGGACGCATAAACGAGGGTAGGTGGTGGCTGTGCAAGAAGAAGTAATGTAGTCGGCGGTGATAGTTCCGGCGAGGAAGAGGACAGCGAGAATGAAAAGTGTGAGTGTGAGGTTTGCCATGTTTGGTGGGGGTGAAGATGGGAGAGGGTGTATTTATAGGAGTATATATTCTCTTTATAGTTGAACCGTTTGCGGTTAAATGGTATGATTGTATTTTTCATAAAATATAAAAATCTATTTCTAGAGTAAAATTTTATTTTTATGGAGTGAAAAATGTATAAAAACAATTAAAATAGTTATTAGGTAATACATTTTAAATATGAGATAAGCACGAAAAGCTCTATTGTTTTGCCACGAAATTTACCGAACTTCATGTTTTTTGTTTTGTTTTTGATGCAAATCAACAAAAAAAAAATGTTTAAGATCTACGTAAACAAAAAAATTACAACCAAAATGCAATTGGTGCCATAGTTCTTTGAACTTCTTCCCTTTTATTAAAACCCTCACACAAGTCAAGTACACTTATTTAACTATTTTTGTAATTTTTTTTTTTTTTTTCAATTAATCATGATGGTTCAAAAGCCCATTTATATTTTTCAAGACCCATGGCCCATGACTACCAAACCCTTAGATCTTATGTGCCAGATTCAAAAACCGAATATATTAATTTGATCACGAGTGGTTTGGATTTTTGCAAGGTGGGTAAACGGCTTTTCAGGCTCACATATCTGATCCTATTAGTATTATATAACCGGAATAAAACTGGATAAAAGGTCATTCTGTTGCGCAACTTTTGACGCATTTACTACACTTCATTTATTTTAGTGTGTATAATTTAACAAAACTTGCATGGTAGTTTGGAACTGGGTCAAAAAAAAGATTTTGGTATTTTTTATTCACTTGGTGTTTCTCGACCATCCGGATTGTTTAAGGACACCTAGGAAGCCTCCAAATTTTTGTATCGATAATTTCAAAAGGTGATGAATCAAAACAACATTTTCTACTACATTAAACATCGGATTTTGTATAGGTTTTGAACTGATTTTGATCACCGTATTAGTAGCAGGTTTTGGACTAGTTTTTATCAAAATACCCGATAATTATTTTGCAATGAAATATAGACATAAATCATAATGATTAGTACAAATATGCTGATCATACATGATATAACTCTTTACTCCTCCATCCATTAAACTATATCCTAGTGACTTGCTCCGTTAATACATTATTTGTGTTTGAGGAAAAGAAAGCTTTGGTTTACTTTTTTTTTTTTTTTTTTTTGCCCTGTTAAAAAAAGGAAAGGAAAGGATCCCAGAGAAAACCAAAAGTTGAGATTTATTTATTTGGTACTGAACTAATGAAAAAAAAAAAAAAAGAAAGAATGTGTACAAGAGAAGATGGTTTAATTTAAAAGAAAATTAGGGAGGATACAATTTAGGATTTTTCTAGGAGTTGAATCAAAGGGGTTAATTCCTATGAATGAATGATGTAGAAAATTATTAATTCCTATGATATGATCTCATAATTAAGTTATTGTGATCGTTTTGACTCTTGAGAGGTGGTGGAACTGGAATATATGCAAGAAATGGAATATGAATGAAGAACAAGTAAAGCATTCAGCCCAGGAATTAAGCAGGTAGCAGCAGCAGCTAAATGGAAGCAGTGATATGATATGATATGATTGATTAGGTAGGTTGTCATGGTACTGCTGGTTTATTAGAACTGTCTATCGAGTCTTGAGCACTCTTTACAAGCATGTCGTAATTGATAGAAGCCAGCTGAGACAGGTTCTGATCGATCATAAAAAAAAAACAAAAAAAATAATAATTATATATAATATGTGTTTGATTGATGATCTCTCGCTCTCTCTCTCTCTCTCTCTCTCTCTATATATATATATATATATATATAGAGAGAGAGAGAGAGAGAGAGAGAAAGTGTTGGTTATTATACCTTAAATGAGAAATTACTGAATGAGTAATTGACATTGAGAGTTGAAGCACCAAATTCTGCCAGGTTACCACATTCATCACCCTGCTTAATCAAACAACCAAATGATCAAGGATTACAAAAGAAACCAGGTATAAGTAAAGATATATATATATATACATATATATATATATATATATATATATAGTGTGTGTGTGTGTGTGTGTGTGAAAAAGGATGCATATTAGTATTAATTACCTCTTCCTCTAGCATATTGCCGAAAGAGCTATCACCACATGTGCTGCCTGTATCAGACATATCATCAAAGTCGCTGCCTCCATCAACATGCTCATCTTCTGGATTCCAAATATACCGGCTCATGAAATAACTCGTGTCCAGAGTCTCAGCAGATGGTATGAAGGTCGCCTGAAACAACTCCACGCTTCTCTTATAATTTATGTTTTTTTTTTTTTAAAGTAAGAAAAAAAAAAGATGAAATTACCTTCTGCCTTGCAAGTGTGTCCCAGTGGATATTCTTAAAGAAATGGTGCGTCTTTACCTGTTTGTTTATCATAAATAAACAAATCACACACATTATGAATCAATTAACTTCCTACCTGATACCTCTTTGCCTTTTCTTTTTTTATTGTTTGATATATAGATATACCTTTAATAATGGAGAGAGAAAATGTTACCTGTACAGCCCCTATGGCACCAAGGCGTTGAGCTGGATTTTCAGTCAGCAACCTGAAATAAACAAAATTATAAATATGTGATGATTGAATTGATTGATAAACAACTAGAAACTTACTTATTAATCAGATCATATGCTTCATAGCTCATCTCCTCAGGGATCTTTGGCCATGGTATATCTCTGTTCATAATGTTGGCAAAAACTTGCTGCCACCAGTTTGGAAAAATAATAACAAAGTACATTACCTTTCTATGCAAATGCAATCTACCCTCCCTCCTCAACAAAGCATCAGAAGAAGATTTTGATTTTACCTGTGGAGATTCTGCATTGAACGGAGGTATCCCTACAAGTAGCTCAAAAAGAATAACACCAACAGACCACCAATCAGCTGTTGCACCTACAACAAACCAAACCAAAGGAATTAAGTGCTACAACTTTCAACTTCATATATTAAAAGCAATAAGCAGAAAGACATTTGAAAAATAAAATAAATTTCCAACCATGTCCCACGCCTAGAAGTATCTCAGGAGCCAGATAGTCGGGAGTCCCAACAACCGACTGTTTTTGACGTTCTCTTCCTGGTGTAGCAGCAACATCATTTTCCCCATAAATAGAGGTCCTGTTTTCTGATACCCCCCCTGATAAGTCCTCTGTACTGTTGATCAGACCTACCTTCGATAGCCCAAAATCTGACAGCTGTAACAAATAATCATTTTATAAGTAATTCATTTTTTTTAATATATAGAAAGAAAAAAAAAAAAAAAAAAAAGATATTTACCTTGATATGGCCATCTGGACCAATCAACAAATTGTCTGGCTTCAGGTCTCGGTGAATGATATTCAAAGAATGTAAATACTCCAGTGCAAGAACCTAAAAGCATCCAAAAAAATATGAAGTTGGAGAAAAGAAGACCAAATTGCCTGTAAAAGCAATCTACTTTACTCTCTTTTCAATACCAATATGAATGAAGATCTACTTAGTGTTTACCCATAAGAGTCGAAAACAAAGTACATTTGTTATACCAGAAAAGAAAGGAAAAAAACTTACAAGTTCTGCAATATAGACACGTGCCATGTCCTCTTCTAAACAGCCTAGAGTTCTCAGCAAAGAGAAAAGATCTCCTCCATTTAAAAACTCCATTACCAGATATAGATTTTCTTTGCATGTGAATGAGTAGAAAAACCGAACCTAAGTCAAAACAACTTAATTAATGAAGTCAAGTTACACAAACACAGTTGTTGAACCAAAATACTTTTTTTGATTTTCTTCTCACCACAAAAGGATTTCGAACTGATATCAGTATATCGCGTTCAGCCAAAATACTTTCAACCGCATTTTTACGAATCATATCAGCCTTCTTCAAAACCTGCAATACTTTTTCCAAAATAACTTCTTTTAGTAAGTAAACACTGACTAAGGGAGGGACTCTGCTTCTTTTTTGGACATAATGAGTTAGGCACTTATAGTTATTTTTTTTTTTTTTTTTACTTAATTATCTGGACAGAATTTACTTCAGCCCTTACCTTTATGGCAAATACATCACCGGTTGCCCTTTTTTTGGCTAGAAAAACTCGTCCAAATGCACCCCTGCTGATTGGTTTTATAATTTCAAAATCTTCAATTGATGTCCTATCTTTAGAGAATGTATTCACAGGGCTGGCACGTAGACTACTACGAGCTGTCTCATCTTCTACTGAACTATCTTCATTCGCCAAGTTACTTGATGATTCTATCTTATCATCCTCTATCTGCCCACAAAGAACTACATACTTCTCCCTGTATTTTTTGAACAAAAAAAAAACTTGAGTAATAGTTTTTTATTATATAGAATAAATAAGTATTATGATTGGTTGGTTGGTTAGTTCACTCACTGTAATAGTTTCTCTATACGTCTACCGAATGTTTCGACAACAAGGGCATCCACCTTTCTGTCCTGGATAGCATATTTGAGGTCTGTTAAACGATCAAGCATGATCTCCAGGGCACTGTAGTCATTAGTGTTGATACTGGCCACAGATCGAGAAATTTCCAGTAGCTTATTTATCTGTCATTAACTCCAATAATGTCAAAACAATATCAATATGGAAATTGGTGCAGGAAGAAAGCAAGTGGGGATGTTTCATGTGAGACTAATTGCTACCTGCTGCCAGTTTTCATGCTCAGATGTCTTCCTTTCACTCAAGAACACCTCAATCTGGCTGGCTCTCGGTGTTAGTAAAGGTGATCTAGGAGTCAAGCTTCCACCTGATGAGGCTTTGTAACATGATGATGTGACAGGTGTCAAGTTTCCACGTGTTTCACTATTCATGTCTGGTAAACTTTGCAGGTTGTCCATCACATAAGGAGCATCAACTCCATGGACACATTCGAGTATCTCTTCAGAGCATCGACAAGACAAACGGTGAGTTTTGGGTGATGATTCATCAGAATCTTCTGGTGTACTGGATAAAGATACTCTCCCAACATCTGGACATCCAACAGCAATATCTGCACTTTTGGGTGTGCATGAATCAATGATCCTTTCAAGAGTTTCTGAAACTCTACAGAGTCTTTCATTGACTGTTAAACCTTTTAAGTCACATCGATCAGCAATGGTGCATATTCTAGAATGTTCTTCCACATGTACAGTGGGTATTTCAACTTCACATATACGACAAATCAATGAACTCTCATAAGCTGCATGATGTTGACTTACAGAAACCCCGGATGACACTCTTGTTAGATTTGATGGTGTCTCCAAGTTCTCAGGAGGGCAGATTGGTATTTCAATATTCAAAACATGGTCATCTTTAGGTTCTAATTGGTCAGAGTCTTCTTTTGTCGGGGTGTCAATCTCATCTAGGTCTTTCAGATTCTTTATGGATGGAAATTTCTTCCAAGATGACATTCTGTAGCTACTCGCGGATGAAGCAACACTTTTTGCAGTATCAACCTCCACATTGTCAATTTCTCCATCTAAAATCATTTTTGCTTTAATTTGTTCCTCATTCCCTTCATGGGCATTTTTGGTAATTTGTGTTTCGGTGACTTCAGATTCTTCTAATGAGCTACTGAAGTTTTGGTATGTAGACTCTATAACTTTTTGATAGACACCAAGATCGCTTAGCTGGTGAAGACCTAAAATATGGTGGCCTTCTTCATAACCACACTCTTTATGGAACTGAACAAGCCGAGTGCATCGTGTAAGTATAAATAGAAGACGGGTATGCACTTGTTTGAGGATACCAGTGGATAAATCCTGGCGCCTATCATCTAAAATCTGAACAATGTTTTCACATTTCAGCCAAAATTCATTGGATGTCATTTTTGCACACTTTCTTGCTATAATTAACAAGTCTTCCAAATTTTCTTGCCATTCGGGGTGAGATACTGATGTTTCTTCAAGAATGCCTACCAGATCTCCAGCAAAGATTCCCAGATCAGCATTGACTTCTTCCTTTAATTTATCAAACTTTCCCCTGAGCATCACCAGAATCTCCTGAACTTGATATATATTGCAATGGCATGGAGCAAACAGGTTAAGGGTGAACAAATTAATGTGAACATTAGAAGAACATCAACTATGAGAACAAGGAAATACCTCCACACGCCCAAATCCACGAGATTTCCAGAAAGGTAGAGGCCTTACTCCTTTGGCACTGAGCTCGTGAGAGAAACTTTTGATATCTGCAACTCTCTTCTTACGACCACTTGTAGCACGCAGTATGGCCTGAAATCTTGGAGATTGCAGCTCCTTGGAAAGAGATGCATTACCCTGCAACCACTCACAATATGAGCCACATATTGCTTCAATGAAGAAGAAAGTTGGGAAATACATAGAAGATGAGACATGGGCAAATCAAGCCTATCAGCCTCAGCAATAACCTATCTAGTATAAAGCAGATTACCTCCAGTCCACCAATGGCTGGTGGAAGGACGCGCAAGGATTTAGATTGACTCCATGATACCTTCTTGCCTAGCAAAGACAAAAATCACTAAAAATGTCAAAATGGAAGATCAAACTTCAATACTCCGCTCAAATGTTTACCAATTTAAATACTTATATGGAAGCTTGAAATAGTAGATGGAGGACCCGAATATTATATCTAGTTTTGATAGTAACATTGCGCATAAATGTTTTGATAGTAACACTCAAATAATTCTAGATTGCAGTTAATTCTACTACCTGCACTAGGCTGAAGCAGGACTATTACTCTAAGAACTAACGAATCTAATAATCTTTGTCATGGATAATCGCATTTATGGCATTATATTAGTCCTTTTTTCTAAACTACATACGAGTACTATATCCAAATCCCCAACTCAAAATGAACAATCTGATATATTAACGGGAGAGCAAAGGATTACGTAACCTGGATCAGTGATTCTAGGAAATTGTTTTGTGTGTACTTCACGAGGAGGAGGAGGAGTTGAAGTCTTATCTTTATTACTTATACCCAATTTTGAGGGGGTAGCAGACGGAGAAACGACCCTAAGAGGCGAAGGAACAGAACAAGTGCGAATGTGGTTTAGGCCAAGGGAGGAAGCATGGAGTATGTAATCCTCCTCCAACTGACGATCGTAATTCACATCATCTTTGCTATCACCGTCACCATCACCGTCACCTTCACCGTCGTCACTGCACTCTCCTTCGTTGTTTTCCGCCATTGCAGCCATGCTCTGGCTCTGACGGATCGGGATCGGAGGTATTTTCCTCAATTTAACGATTGAATGGGAGGTTTGACAATTCTGATGAAGGTTTCTATAGACATGATCGATGGAATTGTATGCGGTTTGTTCGGATTCTGACGAAGGTGGTGGAATTGACATTAGAGATAATGTTGTTTGTTCACGGCATTTTCCGAGTGTGATCTCTAGTATTTTATACAGAGAAACATAATGGATCGAAGATGATGATTTCCAGGTTTTTCAGAGTAGAATTTGGATCACAATTTTGTTCATTTCGTCAGGGAAGAACACGGAGAGGTATTCACGCGAAAGGAAGAATGAATAGATGCAAAATAGGATCGGAACGCAACATTGTGCATGAAGTTATGAAAAAAAATCAAACTAAATAAAATGTTGAATATAAATATTAAGACATATCAATTAGAATAAATGCATAAAATTTACGTAATTTAGATCAATTTCATTTTGGATATACTCTTTTACTGCACAATAATTACATATTTTAATGTTCATCCATTTCGAGCAACTAGTTTTCATTATTTCATGCAAATTAAAACATATGCTAAGGTTTGATTATTGTCATGTTCAAAATGGTTAATGTCATTAAATAGTACTTGACTTTTTAACAAAAAGTATCTTAAAACAATAAAACCAGGGGCGGACGTTATAAGTAGAGGGGCCGAAACTAAAACATCATAAAATTCGTATAATTCTCTAGTTAGCTAAGAAAACGACAAAGTAATTATTTTGAACTTAGTAAAATGCTTTACAAAAAAGTTAATTATACTTACTAACAAGCAATAATAAGGGATGATGAATATGTTAGACGTATTCAGTATTCTTCAATATTCAATATAGTTCAATATATATGGAATAAAATAAGATTGATGTCTTAGTTATAATTAATAAGTTACTACAATAACAAGTAAATTTTTTTCTCGATAACACAAATAAACATCCAAATAATAAATATTTAAAAGTTGGCAGGAGACCTTTTATCTTTTCAGAATTTACAGACTTCTTTTTCTTATCTCCCATCTCTCTTAATCACTAGTGAGAGAAAATAAAGAAATAGATAAAAAAGAATTATCGGTGAGAGAAAGAGTGCACGTACAAGTTCAAAGAGGAGATTGAGAGACTGCACGGAGGTCGCCGGTCGGAGATGGTGAGCAGCACGGAAAAGGGCGGACCACATATAGAGAGACTGCACAGAGGTGAACAGCAAGTGCGAAGAACAGAGAGAGCGTGCACGGAGGTCACTAGTTCAGTGAACAAAGGAGGTGAGCACTTAGGTGTTGTTTGTTTTTTCTGAGGCAAAATGTCTGCAGTCTGCGGACCACATCTGTAGACCTCTGCAGTAGAAGAGGTGGACCAAACGTCTGCAGTCTGAAAAAAGAAGACTGTTTGTTTTTTTTAACATCTGCGGGCTACTAAAATAAACTGAAATCTAAATAAACTGATTTTTTTAAACTTCAAAGTGGTTTTTTAATATTTTTATAACTTTGTTATAAATAATTAACGAATATAAATCAACTTTTATCTATTATTGTATAAAAAATAAAAATAAAAATAAAAATGGTATGAATTAACGTATATATTTGATAAAAACCGACAACTTTGGTTGCAAAGTTATAACTAAACATTATAATTAGTGATCAAAGAATTTGATACATAAATAGATGGAAATAAACTTCGATTTTTTCAATTAAATCCATTAAAAACAAACCATAAATATTTTCTCGAAAAATCGACGATACTGTATTAAATAATGTTTTATAAAATTTGGCAAAAAAATATAAGAATATATTATGATTTTTTTTCATATTTATATAAACAATTTCAAGGACTATTATTGTAATAAATCTTTATTTATAAATTTGTCAAAAATATCATGTTTGGTATCGTCGAACGTTTTTTTTTAAGTTTTGTAATTTTTTTTTTCAAATTGTTTATCATTAATAAAGTTGGAAAAAATATAAATTAAAAAAAAACTTAAAAAAAATAAAGATATATATGTTTTTTTAGGCTAGAAGATGTCCGAAGATGTTAGAAGACTCTGGTCCACATCTGCGCCAAGAAGAGGGCGCGCATACATTTTTAGGTCTGCAGTCTTCAAAAAAACAAACAGTCTGCGAAGGCTAATGTCTGCGCGTGGTCTGCGCGGCGCAGATAGAAGAGGCCACGCAGATCTGCAGACAAAAAACAAACACTACCTTAGTCGTCAAAGGCATCCACTGGTGAGATCTGGTGAGATCTGAAGGTTCTTTTTCCAGTGGGAGAGATAACTTTTCAGAGTTTTGTATTTCTACAAGATTACATGAATAAATTGTACATTATATTTTTATAGAACTCAATATCCTATATTTTTACTAGGATTGCTCTTGATTCTTTCTGTAATTCTTGAATTTTTGTTAGTTATTGATTTAGTTCCTAATTTATTTGATTTCCTTGGATGCATTTTATGCACCTCAGGGGCCATGAGGTTAATTTTTAAATTTTTGGATTTAATTACATGTATACAACTTGTATAGTGATATTAGTAAGGCAAAAAGCGGGGTGGCCATGGCCCCTCCTGGCCCTATACAGGATCCAACACTACTTAAAACCAAATGCTTTTTTTGACAATGAGCTTATACAGCTACCCAAAGTAAAGGTTTACAACATAGTGTATTTATACAAGAAACAAAACCTCTTTATTTGTAACACCGTACTATTCGAGCTAAACCATAGTCTATGATTATGTTAAACACCCTAATGTCAAGCTTAATCCATTGCTAAACAAATAGTGTCTATGTTTATGTTAAACGCCCTTATCTTTTACGATTAATTATAGTTTAACGTCAAGCATAAATTCCTAATCCATGACTAAACAAATAGTGTCTATGTTTATGTTAAACACCCTTATCTTTGACTATTAGTTACTACTATAGTTTAATGTCAAGCCTAAATGCCTAATCCATGGCTAAACAAATAGTCCAACACGACAAATCTATCCTAAATGTCCTTTTTGTCTCATTTGATCCAATTTAATATGAGGTAGAGACAAAAGTTTAAATGGCATTTAAAGTTTGGGAAAATGATACCGTAGAACAATTAAATTTTGGCTTTGTCTCGGATTGATCCTTAATGTATTTTTTTGCGCAATAGGTTACTAAAGTTTCATTTTTCCTATTAAATAAGGGAAGTATGCAATTCAATTTCGGTTTCAGCGGTTACATTTATCCTAGGTGTTTTTTTTATTTTTTATTTTTCATTTTCCTTTAAAAATCAAGTGCAAGTATATGTGGCTTTTTTTCATCTTGCTTTTCTTCAGATGTTCACCTTCACTGTTGCCGTACTCAAATGTTCACCTCTCGTCATGGATGTGGGGTGGTGGGGTTTTCATCGAAGAGCAATTTTTGCAGATAACTATAAAACAATGACATCATAATCAATAAAACGATTGGGGGTGTCATGGTTATGCCGACTCCAGTGTTGGTTTGAAGTTCTCCGATGAACACTCTGATCCCTTTTCATCGTGTCACACGAAATCGAATCAGGGTTACAGATGGACACGTCTTCTTCACCGGTCTTAGCACTAACCCTAGCCATCTGTAGAGGAGCCACCGGTAGTGGAATTAATGGAGTTTTTGGCATCTTTCTTGGCAATAATCTCCGATAATCATCTTTGGCGTCTCCTTCACCAACCATCGTGGCGCTGTCTTCAAGGGTTCATGGCGTCTAAAATCGAGTTCGTTACATCTTAAATCAATTTCATTCAAGTCCAGATCTTGATATGTTTGCGTCTTCAAGTTCCTTGATCATCTGGTTTTTGTGTTTAGAGTTCTAGGGTTCGATTATATTGATTTCAGGATTCGATTTCGAGTTCTACACAAAGAAGGTTTTGGGGATTTTAAAAAAAAAGTTCTCAGTTGGGCTAGAGGGATTTCACCACCACCGATTTCTAGTGCCCCTATGGCGGCAGGTGTTCGTGGCTGGATGAGGGTTTAGGTCCCGGTAAGTGGTGGTAATGGGTGGGAGGTTGTTGTTGTGCATGTACCTCAAACTGAAGGTGCAACTGCAACCGGTTGGGAATGAGACAATATTGTTCTTCTAGGTTCAATTTTTCTTTTGATATTGTTTAAACTAAGTATTTTGAGCCTAGTTTTATGATATCTGAATATTTTTAACGTTAAAAGAAATGAAATCTGGTGTGTTTAAGGTGGATTAGAGGAAGATAAATGGTGGTGTTGGGAGGTGGAAGGTGGTTGTGATGGTAGGGACGGGATGGACGGTGGCAAGGGCGGGGGTGGAAGAAATTGGAAAGGTGGGTTAAAAATAAACGCCACGTGGATGCCCATGCACCATTTGGGTATGTTTTGTTGAGTAATATGCCATGTGGTGTGCCATGTCATCTTTGTTATTGGCTGACCGCTTCATATTATGTAAACTGGTATAATTAACATATAAAATGATACTTTAAGGTTCTATATATTCTTTCTATGTGGGACAAGGTCCCAATGATTAAAGCAAAGTTCCATCAATACTCCATATTTTCTCTTCGAATACCAACAATGCTTCATATTTGAATATGAAAAAAGATAACTTTGATATTCAAATCATGAAGGCTGGATATGATATGCATCTAAAAAAAGGTGTTGTAAAACTTGAATCTTTCATAATGAAGACTATTTGGATCTTTTTTGTGGGTAGTAACTAAAGTCTTGAACTAGCCACCTTTGTAGTAAAACAAGACAAGAAATATTATGCATATCATATCTAAACATAGGTTGATTCTTACCATTTTGTTCATTTAGGCCGTGAACAATACTTTCTTCATTAGATTTTTAGAGAGCTTAGTCATATCAGCTCTCAAACATGTGAACCTCTCATTTTGATATAAATCATAGGAGCAAACATAATTTTGTGTTTGCGCTTCTTTGAGTCTTCCCCTACTACTTATCATATTTGTAACGTCCCAAAAACCATGATAAAATTTTTTCATTTTCAAAAAACATTTTCATAAACTAATCAAACATTGTTTTCAAGACAAAACCATAGAAATCAGTGTCTCAAATCATCTCTCAAAACATAAATCAACATGAGGATATGTATGATCACGCCTTCGCCTTGCCCCGATCATTTGAAGTACCTGAAAACATTTAAATCCACAACTGTAAGCCAAAGCTTAGTGAGTTCCCCAAAATATATCACACAACAATACATATACAATGCATGCACACCAGGCCTACAACACAAGGTTGGACCGCCTCCTGAGCCGACAACATAAAGTTGGACCACTCCCGAGCCTGTAGCATATAGTTGGACCGCTCCCGGGTTTATTCGTCTACAACACTGTAA